GAAAAAGAAAAATTTCCATAATTTTTAAAATTTTTGTTCACTTGAAATTTTTTGTTTTATATTAAACTAAAATTTTTTTTTCTCTTTGTTTGTGTTATGGGCTGTGATCAAAGCCCTTCAAATGGCAAAAGACAAAGGTCACTTGGACTTACTGGTATACTTCGCAAGAAGGAATCACATACGGAAATTCATAGTCTTTTGTTTGAGATTATTTTCGAAAGCTTTCCTTTACCTATGTTCCACGAGAAGCCAATATGTTGGCGGATTCGTTATCAAAACGAGCTATTTTGGCTTGTAGTTTGTCGACATTTTTGACATAGTTATTAATAAAATCATGATTTTGACCCAAAAAAAAGTACTATCAANATTATATTCTTCTCTATCAAACAAAAAATCTCCATCACTTTTTCTTTCCACGTCAACAAGATATGCCTTGTCCTAGAAAACATGGAAATCCCAAATTTTAAGATATGTTAGAGAGAAAAGCCAGAAAAAGAAAAAAAAACATGTTAATGCTCTTGAGAAGAATAAGAAGAAGCAAGATTTGGTTCGTGATCCGAAGCAAGAATAACTCCACGGTTTGTTTGTTTCTTATGAATGTCTGGTTCCATTTTTTGTTTCCTGATCATAAGTTCAATGGTGCTAATGTCGTAATAATTTGTATATGATGATTGTGATGAGATAGAGATTGTTTAAGGTGGGGAAAAAGAAGAGCAATGAGGAGAAACTTGTGATGGGGGTTGGGATGCAAGTAAAACAAGTAATAATGAATCTTGAAATTGATATATTGAAGTATTGAACTAAAGAAAGAGTGAAAAATCGCTAATAATAAGCTCATAAAGTTACATTTCTCAATAAACTCTCTAAAGGCAAAGAAGATTCATCAAACTCTTAGTTAGTGATTAACAACTTGCTATTTATTAATTTGCCTTTATATGATCTATGAGTTTTTTTGTTTAGCAAGAAACATCTTCAAACTGAATTCTTAGATCATTAATGGTAACAACCATTTGAAATAAAATGGTGTCCATAATCTATGCTTCTCCTTAAAAAAAGGACTCCATTTGTATTGAGTTTCAATGATTTTCTTATAAGTTTTAGATCATTATGTTTTAAGTTATTCACAACCTCTTCATAGGTTATTATTTTCAATTATTTGTATTAAATGCTATTTCATGACGTGTTTAATGTTTACGTTAAGAAGTATTACTCAGCTCTTCAACATAATCAACCCCTCCTCCAAGAGACGTATATAAAGTTGTT